TCAAAAACTCCATATCATCCTTAAACAATATAAAAAATTTCAGAAATGCCCCTGTGAATAGTATCCAAAATGCGTGAACAGTACCTTTGAAGTACTAATGAATAGTGAAAAATAAATAAAATAAAAATTATGTGTTGGAGATGTCATCAATAGGACCGCATCAATCCCGTTGGTTAGAAGAACTCGCCCTCGAGTTCTGGTGATATATTCTGTCCACCTGTCAGGATTTACCCTTTGAAACTCCATCTATGAAATCCATGGATCATCTAGGGCAGATTTATCTTTCCAGTGCACAAGATACTGCGTAAATGATCCATGCCTTGTGGTAATATACTTGTGTCAAGCACATAATCAAACACCTTGGCCTTGAATTCTGGCAACTGGTCTTACCCATCAGTCTCTATCGCTTTGTTGTGCCCACCATGATAATCATATAGATGTGCAATGTTAAAAATTGGCAAAATATCATAACCTGCCAAAAACTCTGGTTTGTATGCATTCTCTCCCAATCTCTTAAGGACGTGACAAGGTCCAATGCACCGAATCTTCAGCTTATGGTACTGTCTCTGAGGAAATCCCCCCTTTCGTAGGTAGTCCATAACTAAATCACCTCATTAAACTCTTTTCAGTGCCTATGGCAATCACTATTTGTAATGCGTTGTGTTCCTCTTAAGCTTGTAGTCATCTCCTATTGGATGTCTGGAATGTATTCCTCTTAAGCCTCTGCATAATTGCTAACTCGCTCCATATCAGGCAAATTTACCAGATCTCATACTTTTTTGTGTTCCTGCCGTAAACTACTTCAAAAGGTGATCTCCTCGTGGTTCTATTTTTAGCATTGTTATACACAAACTGAGCATGAGAAGAACAAATCCCTCTGTTGTGGTCGTTCTCTTTGTGAAACAGCGCAAAAGATTGCCCAAACTCCTGTTAATTCCCTCTATTGACCATCTATTTGAGGATGGTATACACTGCTGAACTACAGTTTTGTCCTCCATAAGTGGCTTATAAAACGTGCAGTTTTTGGAACACCATGAAGCCAAACGTCTTTGAAATATAGATTGGGTGCCTGCATAACGTCCCTAGTGTTTTGGCATATGCTATGTGCATCTTGTGCGAAAAATATTAGGCTCAGCCATGGCTTGTGAACAACCTTGGGTGTAGCTAGTGTAGGTTGAATCACTAAGAGCTTGCTGTCATTGGGGTATGTGTTTTCTTTACCTCCCTCGATATCAGCATCACTCCCTTCATCGGTGTGCACGTTTTTCTCCCCATTACTTTCCGTAGATTTCCCTTGCAAGTGGATGCCAGCTTGGCGCTTCGGGCAATCATAAGACCTATGTCCCGGCTCACCACACTTGAACCATGTTCCTGATTTACCGTTGTTTGGGGACTGTTGTACTAGTCCTACATTGGTCGGTTTGGTCCTTAAATCGACCCCCTTCCACACCATGGGACTGGTTACACCTTGACCTCAATACCTCTTTGGACTTTGTTGTGGCTAGTTGCTTATTTACAAGCACTTGGGCCCAGATCTGTTATCTTGGTCTCAGTCTTCAAAGCGAGTTAATAAGCTTGATCCAAAATAAAAATCTGATGCAGGGACAACTCGTCTTATATTGCAACACGTAGCCCACTGGTATATCTTGCAATCAGCTTGTTAGCCGTCTCTCGAATATCATTCCAATAACTGATAGAAGGCTTCCATATAATCCTGTATTGCACCATCTTTCCGCCGTAATCAATGGAGTGTTGGTAAAGATCTTGCATAAAATTTGTGGAAGAAATTTTCCTTTCAAATGCCTTTTCATCGTCTCCCTACTTCAGGGCCTTTTACTTTCCTTTTCTTGTGTGATCAACTTGTATTTGATGGCATGACGACAAAGCATGACCTTTGAACCTAGTACCAATAAATCGTATTGTAATCGATGGAGTGTTGGTAAAGATCTTGCATAAAATTGTGGAAGAAATTTTCCCTTTAAATGCCTTTTCAACTTCTCCCTACTTCAGGGCCTTTTACTTTTCTTTTCTTGTGTGATTAACTTATATTTGATGCCATCACAACAAAGCATGACCTTTTAACCTAGTACCAATAATCTTTTTATGCTATGCCATATCATTCTATTGGAAAAATTTGTTTTGACACTTTCAAGCCAGTCAAGGAAGTCATTTGACTGTAGTCTCCCGCTAAAATCAGGAACATCAACCCTAATACTTTGTTCAGAGCCTTCAAGTGCTTGAACCTACCGATCCTCAAATGGTATAGGGTGTCTTGCCAGTAACCTATATGATCCCAGACTATCTCTGTCTGAAGCATCCTCTGAATTCAGATTTGGTCTACATCTTAAACATTGGGGACGCAAGTGATCACCTTTGCTCACCCCTTTGTTGGCACAATTCTGGGTGATGTCTCTGAACTGGCGCACCTCGGAAGTCACTGTGTCAAATCTCTGAAGAATAGCCTCCAAAGCTGCCATCATGGGTCTAACTCCGGTGTCTCGTCCGCGACATCCTCTCACATGGTCACTTCCTCGCAACTCTTGTGCAGCCATCCTCGTGTTTCCAAAGAAACTGAATGCCATGGTGATGGAGGAAAAAAATGTTCTTATTCTTTAATTTTGTTCAACTTTAAAGGATGTATGTTATAGTTTGTTTTTAGGGCTTATTTCTAGGGTTTTTAGTTGTTTTTAGGGATTCTAGGGTTTTTATAGTTTGTTTATTTATTTCATTAGTACTATTCACAAGTACTATTCATGAGTACTATTCACAGGAATAAAACTGTCATTATGAAATTTATACTTAAAGTTAGGACCTTTTGGTCAATAGCTAATTGTATGGATAAATATTGTCCAAAATAATAATTTTTCAATATAAATAAGGGCATGGAAGGGCCAGAGAGTCATGTTTATCTAAAATTGCTGGTGTCAGAGTACTTCTTGCTGATTTTTCCGTGTTTCTTCGAGTTTTTCTGCATCAAGTATCAGAGCCCATGATCTTCATAGAAGTTATTATAGTAAGTATGGAAGTTACCGTAGCAATACACATATGGAGTTACTGTAGAACCACTTTCTTTTGGTGCCCTAGGTCAACAACAAAGAGGGAAAGTTATAGTGGGGTCTAGGGTTTGTTGATTTTGCCTAAGGTTTTCCCAAAACAACATAAATCTTGCGGATTTCAGCAATTTTCGTTGATTATTTGCCTAGGATTTGTGATTTTGGCAAACCCATGGCCGTAAAAAGGGGTCTTAAAACGCGGATTTTCGTAGATCCACTCTGTGATCCCATAGATGACAGAATTGAGGACCTTGAGAGGTAAGTACAGCATCTGGTGTGGTAGTTCGCGAACCTCAATAAGGGGCAAAACGATGATCTTTTAGCCCAAGAGGATCTTGAATACAATCCTTTTCACTTTTTCTCTCCGCGTGTGGAGTCGAGTGATGAGGACAACGACTAGATACCTAGACGGTTCATCACTCTAGGATTTTCAATTTAAAGGATGATATTTTTTTTTGACACAGATTGCATAAAAAATCAGTAAGTTGTAGACTGGGATTCACCACCAATCTTCGATATATACTCAGATGAACAACAAGATCGTTTAGGAGATCCGATCTATGATAAGGATCACGATGATGGTGAAGATATTTTGGAAGAGGGTGAAGTTGTTGGTTTAATCGCTGATATCAAAGATGCACTCGTGGTATGTCCTAGAGCTGAGCCTGAGCAAATTCAGCAGGGTTACATGGCTGAAGTGATGCAATTTCAACAAGTTTATGTGATTAAAAATATTCTATCGACATACAGTGACCTTTCCTCGAGGGTTTCTTTGTTTCAATGCATAATCTTCGTGTTTTTATCAGTGTTGTAACCCGTAAGTCCCAGGTTCATGTTTACAATATTCGAGTTGAAGAATGTTGTCGAGTTAACGTCAATTTCATTTTGGCGCACTTCAAAACTTGAGGACGCATTTTCTCCAACCAAAAGAGAATGATAGAGGAGGGAAAAGTATTCTTATTCTTTATTTTTGTTCAACTTTAAAGGATGTATATTATAGTTTGCTTTTAGGGCTTATTTTTAGGATTTTTAGTTTTTTTAGGGATTCTAGGGTTTTTATACTTTTTTTATTTATTTCATGAGAAAAGTTTATTCATGAATACTGTTCATGGGTACTATTCACAGGTGTAAAACTATCGTTATAAAATTTATACTTAAGTTAGGACCTTTTGGTTAAAAGTTAATTGTATGAATAAATATTGTCCAAAACAATAAATTTTCAATATAAATTAGGGCACTGATGGGCTGGAGAGTTATTCATGTATTCCTCTTTAAGAAAAGAAAGATTTTGTCTTGTAAAAGAAGCCTAAGGCTTGAGCCTTAGGTGGGAGAAAGGCTTAGGGTTTCTCCAAAATTGCTTGTGTCAAGGTGTTTCTTGCTGATTTTTCTATATTTCTTTGAGTTTTCCTGCATCACATAGTGTGTGGAGGAAATCAATTGGCTCTGAATTGATGAAGCACAAAGTGTGGATGGACAAGATCGAAGAGAAACTAGGACTTGAAATTCAATAGATTCAATAAAAGCAAAGCTCAAAAGGCTTCAATGCAAAAAACTCTCTCTACAATGATAACATCAGCAACTATTTGCTAACCTCTTTACAAAGTTTTACATAGCTACTCTTTTAAACCCTAAGTTATAATAAAACACCAAACTACTCTTGCTAATTAATAAATTCCAAACAGTTCTCAAAAACTCCATAACACCCCTAAACAATATTTAAAATTTCAGAAATACCCCTATGAACACTAATTCATGAACAATACCCTTGAACAGTACTCATGAGTGGTAAAAAAATAAAATAAAAAAATCATGTGCTGGAGTTGACATTTGCAGGACTGCATAATGTAGTCTTAATTTCTTTCTCTTGATTGAAGTTGTATGAATGTAGGTGAAGAAGACTTGGTTGTTTTACTGAAATGTTCTTGACCCTACTTCCCTTTCTTGCAGTTGGTGTGCAATGCCCATACAATTTGTGACAGTGAACTGAGACCCTTGGGAACAGGGATATATCCTGTGATGTCTATCATAAACCATAGGTAATGATAACATTTGTTGTTTGACAATTGATCCATATTAGAGGATAATATCTTTCTTTAGCTTTATAACCTCTTTTCGTGATTCTTTTATTTTTCTTGTTTCATTCAATAAAGCCATTGTTACCTTATTGGATATAGTTTTCTTGGCTGAATTACTTGGAGTTGCAGCTGCGCACCAAACTCGGTACTTCTATTTGAAGGAAAGTTAGCAGTAATTCGTGCTATGGAAGCTATACCTAAAGGTGCTGAGGTATGAGACTTTACGCATTTACTTTTATATGTTTGCATACCTTTAGTTTAGTGCATTATGTGCTGTATTATTTAACTGCTCTAGTTGCTCTTTGCCTAACTTTTTCATTTATAATTGTCTCATAAGGTCCTGATAAGTTACATTGAAATTGCTGGAAGCACTGAGACTCGGAGGAAGGCTCTCAAAGAGCAATACCTCTTCAGTTGCACGTGTTTACGTTGCATTAAAGTGGTATAATTTTACCGTTCTTGTTGCTTGCACACTTTTATGGAAGTATACCATGATAAATGCAGCATGCAAGCGATATGCTGTATGTTACCTCAACTATCCATTTTCAAGATCTCTACTGCTTGAAAGAGTAGAAGTTCATCTCTACAATTTGTTGTTTACAATGGATGGTTGTCAAGATGCTGAATGTAACCTCAACCATCCATTGTCAAGATGAACTGTACAATGCGCTGTCCTGACAATTTTCCTGATTCATGGATGGTTGCAAATGACTTGTGGCTTCAATATTGAAGGGCTCTGATGATGACTTGAAAGAGAGTGCCCTTTTGGAAGGTTTTAGATGCATAAATGACCAGTGTGATGGTTTTCTGCTACCAAATCCTGGTAGGTAATAAAAATGACTTACTAAAATGCTAAGCAGCTTCATTAAATATGGCTAAGCTTTTTTTCCCATGGTTGACATCTAGAACTTTTCCTGGTTATGTTATGATCCAGTGCAGATGGTAAGAATTTTACTTGTCAACGTTGTGGACTTCTTAGGAATGAGTGCAAGACAAGAAAGAGGAAAGAAGAAGTGGGAGAGAAACTAGATTATGCTTCTAAATTCGTCTCCTCTGGAAGTATCCTTTTTGAAAGTAATAGATTTATTAATCTCATTAATATAAGATACTACTATAACTTCCCATATTCTTTTTACGCTGAACTATCTGTTGCGATCTTCCAATTGATAAAATTGTTTGTTATTGTATTTGATAAGTATATCCTCCTGCTATATATATATACACACACACATGCACACACATACAGTGTTTCACTCGATAGAAGTCATTGTGTCTGGAACTTTGAGTGATGAGAATGAAAGCCAATATCATGCACTGGAATGTTGACCCCTTGACCAAATCAGAGTATTCTGAAGCTTGCAATTTGTATAGGATCATTGATCAACAACAAATGGAACTATACCATCCACTCTCAATTGGTTTGATGCGAACTCGGGAGACCCTTGTAATGGTACCAGTCTTTATTGGTTATTCCTTTTATATCTTTTCATCAGTTATTAAGCTGTTAATATAATTTAACTATGAATTAAGCATAGTTCCAAATGGCAATGGCTTAGCTTCATTCATAAAAACATGGTCAATATCCAACTAACAGCTACAACATAAAAGTATATTGATTTCTTGTACCTATAAACGAAAGAGAAGCTAGTCATTACTCCCTTGTTTGATTTATTTTATTGTCATTCTTGATTCTTGAATCAGTACTTAGTTATCAAAGAGAAAGAACTTATTTTTATAAATACTCATTTTTATTAATTCTTACAACTCATTTTAATTACTCATTGATTTATCATTTTTTGTATTATTCTCATTCTTGTTAGTGTGACGTAACCTTTTATTTTCTTGTTAGACTTAATAACTTACGTTAATTTTGATATGCCCACAGATACTGATGGAGCTAAAGGACTGCGAAGAAGCATTAAGATATTGCCAATTAACTATTCCTGTTTACCAAAGTATGTGAAGCTATGAAATTTCCTATGAATATTGTTGCTTATGAGTTTGACAAAGACTGCATGGTGATTTCATGGAATGGATTGGGCTTGCTCTATTATATCCTAACAAACGATTCTATTCCGTACTTTTAGGAAAGGGGTACCTTTCTATGTGGCACCACCCACATATAAAAACATATGTGACTTCTATTCTTAGCCATCCAATTCAAATTGACTGGTGGGATAGCTTCACAACATCACACCTAATGTGGCTAGTTTTAGGGCTTTTTTTTTTTGTCTTTTTTCTTGCAAATCATTTTGAGATAATATTGTAGAGTTTCTCCTTCTCACTAGGGCACACGAAATAAAATGAGAAAAATATTTTCGACTATAAACAATGCCTGTAACTTATTGGGGCATTTT